CTAGCACAACAACCAAAACAAGCAACAACTCAAGCTCCTCGTTTGTAATTGTGAACTTCCCTTGGGGGCACTTGCTTCTCAAGCTCTTGTCCTATCTCAGCTGACCTAGACCGAGCTGGCCACCAACAGCTTGCCACAGAAGTATGCCAGAAAGACCGCAGGCACGCTGACCTCATCAAGCACACGTCTGGCAACCCTTGGGGCTTAAAGGGTCATATAGGAAGTATACATGGGTTATATGGGTATTATACAGGAGTTGTATTTGGATTATATAGGGGTTATATAGGGATTATATCTGGGCTATATAGGGATCAAGCCATGAGCTGCTGCCTACTCACCACATAATCGGTTCAAAAATGCCTTGCAGACTTCCTGCCGCTGGAATTGTGAGATCTTGCTTGACAGCAAACCCGTTCTTGCCTGCTGCAAGTCCTAAACCATCGCTCATCAAATAAAAAATTTAGCGGAGCAAATGTACCCTAAGAGTTCAGCCTCAGGATGGGGTCTGGGGCTTTGGTCTTCGGGTCGGGCAGTCGTATACAGGGGGCGGTACCTTTCATGGCACACATGGTGGCTGCACTGATCGCCCCATGAACCGAGCACCGGTCAAAGGCTGCAATCAAGATGAAGCTCGCCAGTATCACGAACTGCCTGCCATACTTAACGGCTAAATCTGGCACACTTGGAGGTAGTGAGGGTTAATGTTGAACTTATGCAGAGCTAGAACCATCCAAAACGAGACAAACAGCATGGTCTTGAAGGCTTCCGCCTTTCCGGATCAAAGACGCATGAATAAGGATACTAATAAACACAAAACTAATAGTAGTAATAGTACTAGCAGTAGACACAGCCATAGCGACTATAAGGGATAATTGTCATTCTATTTGGTCCTCTTCTATTCCTACTATACGACTGTTACAGAGTGGGGGAGATTCACCTAAAGAATAAAGATAATCCTACAATTTTGAGGACCTGACATTTGCTTCTCTTCTCGTGACAGTCACTGCAATTCTGGTTCGAAGAGTGGTGGTTCCACCAGGGACCGAATGGATATGATGAACTACCAAGGGATTCAGAGTCTATCAAGGGTTATATATGGAACTTTTTGAGAAGTGCCATGAATGACACTGGCTGTTGCGACAGCGTTGGGGCCCTCTGCTGGGATGAACCTTGCATAGAAGGTCAAGCGCCAATGCAGTCATAGTGCGACTATGAGGACTTGACTCAGAGCAGCACAGGCTGCTGAGATGTGTGAAGCTTGTCGCGCATATAGTGTCAGTTGAGATTACTTGCCAAGAATTCTCGTTGTTTTGCCGGCGCCGTACAGAAACAGAGCCTGCCTGTCAGGCGCCCACAAATACAACTGCAACTCCTCCTCCGGCTCCCTACTGCAGTTTTGGGGTTTTGGGTTTAGGTTCAGGGTTTAGGGTTTTTGCTGATGGCGGTCGTGATGCTGATGATGACAATGATGGCTGTGCTGGTGTTGACGCTGGCAGCTGGCAGCCACTACTAACCACTCCTGCTACGATTACTCCTTGCACCCCAAGAAACACCTCCCATGTTGACTCAACCTGCACATGCCCGAACAATGCTGTATTTGAACACTACCTTCATCCCTAAAACAACCCTGGACCCTTAGCCTTGCTCCTCAACCCTCCAGGCCCAGGCACTATACCCCGAATCTGCAACCTTAAGACGCTCAAAGTCAAGACGTCCAAAAACCACATTCTCAGTAGCGCGGCATCTAGACTGCTAAATGAAGAGAGGAAACAACCTCACTCTCTCTTGTTTCTTAGGGCATGCCCCTTTACAATACTGAATACTGTGTCCATCCCTGCCTGCGTTTATCATATGCTGCTCGCGAAGCAGCTCCCGAGAGAGTCTCATAAGCGGCATTCCTCGGTGATAGTGGGATGAAAGGGGATATAGGTTAGGGTGTAGGGTTTAGGTTTAGGGAAGGGCCTGCAACAGGATAATTTTGCAAAGCAGGTTTTTGTAGTAGCGTCAGTTGTTAGGGTACAAGGACCAAAGACGATAGGAAAAAGAAAACTTGCCTGATACTGGTCCAAGTTCAGCTTCGCTCGATTTTTTTGCGAGGTAGTAGCCTTGCAGGCACGCAATGACCATCATGAGACCGACAGAACAGCACTTGAGGCCAGAGAACAGGAACTAGCACTATACTGTATATGACGTTACGGAATACCTGTGCTTGTCTTCTTTAGAACTCGCATGAACGAAAACCTAATCCTTCGTAACGGTGTCCGGAACAGCACAGCTCTGACATGTGGGGGCTTCCATACACTAGAGGCACCAATATGCATCCCTATAACTATATACCATAACCCCCTGCTACGGGGACTCCTGTTGAGGATCCCCTAGCCTTTGGAAACCCTGATCCCTGCATATCCCAAGGATCCCACCAGTCCCTGTAAAACCCGATATATTCCTCCACGGCCCTTATGGCGACTTTGCATGGAAACCTCACTTGAAGAGTCAGGGGAACCAAGTACTTATACTTTTAAACCCTACAATCCACATAATAACCCCAGCTATCCCCACCCTACTAAGTCCACCTCACCCTCCAAGCATGGAGCTGCCTAACTTAGCAGGCTCAGCTCAGCACCTGCTGCTTAGAGCTCAGCTTGTTGGTTGCCTCACTCAACACTTCAGGGTTGAGGGTGTTGAGGGTTTAGGGTTTAGGGTTTAGGGTTTAGGGTGTTTGGGGTTGCAAAGGAGGGCATCCCTTTAGAGGGATTTATAGGCTGTATAGGGATAGCTGCGATTTAGTGCTCAACATATTTACCAACTTCTGGGTTGCTGTGAACTGACATGACATAAGCTACGATGATAAGGGAACTCCATTCTTTCTACACATCCATAATATGGCAACCTATTTGCTCAACAGAAACCCAGACTTTAATGCCTGGAGATCTCCACTGGCTGACCCTAAACCATAAACCCTAAACCCCAAAACGTAAACCCTAATCTTCAGATACGGTTCTCAGGATTGAACAGACAGATCTGGCCTTCGGAATCCCTCTATGGATCTCTACTGTGGATGGAGGAAGCGTTGCAACACCTTATATAGCCCCAACACAGGTAACTATAATTTTTTGGTCTTATACTAGAAGTTGCAAGTTTCCATGCATCCACTGTACGACGTTGAAGCCGTGTTAGAGCCGGGTCGAAGACACGACGAAAGGCCGTTGTAATCTCTGGTTGACTGGCATCCACAGCCACACCTAGTGTGGAGTAGTGGTCCTGCCAGAAGAAACGGCATAAGAAGGCTGAAGAGCAAGCTAAGCCCATGCGAGGAAATTTGCAAAGTTCTGGTCACTGGTTGAGGTTCTCGATTCAGGCTTGGCTTTCGCATGGTTAAGAAGTGAAGTGCTGGCTTCTCATAAGACATGAAGATCTCGATTCTGGTCATCATGAACCCCAATTCCAACAGGATTCTGATTGAGTGAAGGCACTGCCGCAAAAACATTCAGGAGATCATGATCCCAACTTCATGGTAGCATCTTACAAAAACATAGCAAATGCCTCTACAGTTCAGTGCACCCATCCACGTGAGAACCTTGATGTTTTGCATTTCTCCGAGGACAAAGTGTCTCTGCGCACTGTCCTCCAACAGTTGGGTCTGGATGGTGGTGGCCAAGTCCTGGGCAAACTACGCATCTGTCTTAGTGTCATCTTGATCTGACTGTGGTTCTACAGGAATTGGATCCAAGCATGAACCTCTGGGAGTAGTGCCCGCAACTGCATCACCTCATGAAGAACCGCTGTGACCACGACCTGGGCCAACATCAAGCGCACCCTAGGCATTTTGGGGGATCAATATGGAGACTCTGGGGCTTGAAGGGAATGAACCATATTGAGCTTGCTATGGCTTCAAACTTCGAGAATTGCCAAGCGCGGGGCACAAACGGCAAAGCCAGCAAGGGCCTTGCCACCACAGAACACCCAGACGCATTCATGACATTGACTGGTAATGTGACTAAAATGTAAGGAAGAACATACCGTTCGCGTGGAATTTCCAATGGCTGCCACAAATATAATGCCGTTGTAAGGATCCACAATAATCTACAGCATAACCCATACACCAAAACGTAAAGCCTAATCCATAACCCTAAACCCGATAAATCCTAAACCCTAAACCTTAACCCTAAACCCTACATCCTAAACCCTAGATCCTTAACCCTAAACCCTACATCCTAAACCCTAAATCCCGAACCCAAACCCTAAATCCTAAATCCTGCACCCTAAACCCTACATCCTAAATCCTTAACCCTAAACCCGATAAATCCTAAGCCCTAAACCTTAACCCTAAACCTTACATCCTAAACCCTAGATCCTTAACCCTAAGCCCTACATCCTAAACCCTAAATCCTGAACCCTAAACCCTAAATCCTAAATCCTGAACCCAAACCCTAAATCC